TTCCTTTGTTGTAGGAGAGGCTATTGCAAAGATCATTCCCCTCTGTCCTCAACTCGTCACTTTGCAGGACAGCAAGGTGAGGCATCCTACACCCCTCTTTCCATATGATGTTCGTATATCACGTAACCTAGTTAGGCGTCTCCCATTCGAAAGAGATACGGTTGGAAATATGCAGATCTTTGCATATCTATAACCGTATCTGTTTTGAATTGTCCATGTTTTTTGGACATCCCGAGTATGTGTAGATGGGGTTAGTTTCCTTGCTCTACTCTGATCCGAGATAGAGTTTCGGTAGCATCCATAGCAGAGGCATATATTCTAGAGGAGGTGCCAAACTTCACAACAAAATGCTATGCTGACAACCTTCCTAGCGTGCATAATCCACCCCCTCATTATAATGCTGGCGAAGATGAATCGAACCTTAGCATTTTCCGAGGGCAACTAGGAAGTGCAAGTGGTGCGACTAACAAGACCTTGAAACATGAAGAGTGACGCACTATTATGCTATATGTGTTGACCAACCTATCCGAAGTGGAGCCGTACATGCTGTAAGTTCTCAACAAACTTTTTCTCAAGTAGTCACAATTTTGTGTCCAACTCCCTTGTTTCTCGTTGGTACAGGGAATTTCATGAATAATTTTGGCATGAATCAAGGGAACCTACCCCGCAGGAAACTTCGACCCTTCTTAGAGACGGTGCAGGAAATGGAATGCCCGATTTTATTTCTTAGTTCAAACAGAAGGTACTATCCAATTTGTCCCCGATTACAAGTTGCTCGTACATGCGACTAATATAACGAACTACCCTGCTTGAACTTGTAGGGACAAACCGATGCGTCTATGAGTGCCGAGTTGAGACAGGTTACCGATGGTTGTGCCTATAGGGTTAGGTCATTTACCGATTATGATGTGAATGGATATCACTTTCACACAACAAGCCACGAGCAGAGTCAGCCCAATCGAAGAACCACAAATATCGGAGTTTTTACGCAAGGCTTAGATGGGGTTGAGTATTATGGAAGAATTGAAGAAATATACGAACTCATGTTTCATGGTTGCAAACCTCTTAATCCCGTTATATTCAAATGCCATTGGTTTGGTCCTAAAGTAGTGAGACGGACCCCTAATCTTGGGCTAGTCAAAATTCGACAATCATCCATCTTACCAGGAGACGATGTCTATATTGTGGCTCAATAGGCCACACAAGTTGATTATCTCTCATACCCGTGCCAAACCGTATACCATCTTAAGGGTTGGAATGTTGTGTACAAGGTATCGCCACATGGTAAACTAATTGTCCCAAATAATCAAGATTACAACATAGACCTCCAACACATATGACAGAGAGTTCTTTCAAGAAGATAGGTTCGAAGGGAGTTTTGAGATAGACTTAACCGAAGCTCAGGGTATGGAAGTAGACAATGAAAGTGGTGCTGACGAGGATGCCGGAGACGAGGTTCAGAATGTGAAGGACTTAGAATTACTTCAGCGATTACATCTAAGCAATGATGGTGATGACGACATTCCTCCTTCGAAGCACGTGGATGATTATATCGACATGCGTGATAGTGATGATGAGACTTATGATCTAGCTAATCCTGATCATGATGATTGTTTCTAATACATGTATGATCCGTGCTAATTGATTTATTATTTGTCATACCACGTTATTTTCTAAGTATGTTTTGTTTATTTTGCATCTATTTTGATGTATTATCTGTGCTAATTGGTTTACACTTTTTTATTGCAGGTGATTGAACAATGGTGGGCAATATGAAGAGGATAACGTCGCTTTACTCAAAAGCGATAGCGACACATAAAGGGTCCAATGCAGCTGCAGGGTCCGATGCAACTGAGAGGGGTCTAGGAAGAGACCTCGGGGTAGACCCAGGGTCAAGGGAAGGGTGGAGGCAAGACAGGGCCACCGTCGCATGTACCTTCGTTGCCATTTGAGTTACCTTCCACTCACTCATCCCCTGAGGAGGAGGAGGTACAGGTGGAGGTGGAGGCAGGGGTGGAGGAGGAGGAGGCAGGGGTGGAGGAGGAGGTATGGGTGAAGGAGGAGACAGGGGGTACCTCTTCCTCTACTTCATCGCGTGTGTGGTTGTGAGGTCCCTCGACCCTCCCAAGGCGATCGATACCTCTTGAGAGATGCTCGCTGATTCAACCCGATGGAGATAAGTAAGTAACTTTAGATGTTATCACTAATTTTTTGTTTGATATGTTCAAAATTACAATAGAAACTAATAATTTATCTTAATCACTTGGGCAGGGGTTGGAGGAAGGTCGGTGGGGGTGATCACGCACGCCATGTGAACGACATCCTTGGTCTTTTGATCAAGGAAAAGTTCCCTGGCCTGGTGCAGTTTGGCGGAACTATCGAGCTGGCCTACACGTGGGCCCACTATGCCGTCATCCCCGACGCCCTTAATCGGGATGGTAGGGTATTCACCGACAAGGCGCAGCGTGTCAAGGCCGAGCTTTGGGTAAGTCTTTCTCGCACTACATTGCTTAATACATCGCATTGATTGGACATTCTTGAAATAATGACTAGATACATCGCGTCTATGTGTAGGATTTCTTTAGATGCGAGGAGGGATACGAGGCCAAGGCGGATGCTGTGGCTGACAAAGCCGCCAAGAAACTCGTCAAGGACATACACTACGAGGCGCGCATCCAGGCCGTGATCCAATACCACGCGGAAATTTTTAGAGTGAGGGTCCCTAAAAGTGCGGCAAGAACCATGAGGCTGACCCCGGAACAATACCTGAAGGTAAATATAGAACATTAATACTTATTTTTTTAAGATTAATTACGCTTAATTTCATCTTCTTATATGTCATATACTTGATGATGTAGGTGCCTCCGTGGTGGTGCGCCTATGATCTGCAGTGCTAGGCCCGGATGGTGGACAGGTGGTGCGACCCCGTGTGGGAGGAGAATCACAACGCTTGCCGGGAGCGGCGTTTGCTGATGCCGGGTGCACCACACCATCAAGGCAACCTCAACCTCTCAGAATATGCGTCTAGATGGGTACGCGGATTCATTTCTTTATTCTAACGCTCAATTTTGTATAATTTCTAATCATATTGCTTTTTTTGCAGTCGGCGGCACATGGTGGCGAGCCTTGCTCCTAGTTCATGGCATATGCTTTGGCCTACAAGGGCAAGGCGATGGCCGACGTCGCCTACAACCCGGAGGACCCGCCCTCAGCGTACAACAACGAGTCCGTCCATAACCGCCTCGATGGATACACATCGATGGCAAGGGCCGTCCATGGCCCAGAGTACGATCCGAGCGCCCATGACCTTGATGGAGAAGTGGTCATGAGGGCCGGAGGAGGCAAGAAGTATGGCTGGTTCTGGATTGGTGATGACACGATCGACACGGCCAGTACTCCCACTCTCTCCCAGATTCGAGCATGGAGCACGAGTTCCAGCCCGGTGATACGCCCACGGCCGGACTCTACGCGGTTCTAGATGAACGCACTACAGGTTATTTCTGTTTTATTCATCGTTCATTGATTTTTATATACTTTTGTATTGCATTGTAACATTAGGATGAAATATTGTAGGCTCAGCTGGAACAAGAAACGAAGCGCCGGGAGGAGCTAGAGGCGAAGATGGAGGCAGACCGGCAGAGGATGGAGGCAGAGCGGCAGAGGATGGAGGCAGAGCGGCTGCAGATGTTTGAATATATGAGGGGTGTTTACGCTGCAATCGTTCAACCTCCGCCACCGATGCCAGTCCCTCCTCCTCAACCTGCTCCAAATACCGTTTCAGACACTGTGAGTCACTTCATAACCTTATAATCATCGTTTCTAGTTTATGCAGAATCAATCTTTTCTCCTTTGTGATGTGCATATGTTTATAGTTTCTAATTTCTAGTTTATTTCTAGTTTGTAGTTAACCTTGTAATCACTGTTTCGTTCTCAATCACTATAACTTAGCTACTTTTAGTTTCCGCAGAATTAATCACTTTTTCTAGTTGCTAGTTTATTTCTAATACTTGTATGTTTCGTTCTCAATCACTGTTAATGATTTATCTCTTCTCCTTTATGCAGAATTAATCTATGGCATCGAATGAGCCTCATGACCGACAGTGGTCATAGTGGTCACCGTGGTCATAGTTTATTTGCATTCCTGATGAGCCTGGAGAGCGACTGGGAACTATGTACTTGTGATTCTGAAGTTTATTTGCATTTATGATTGTGAAGTTCATTTGCATCTGTGATGTGGTCGATATATCTATATGAACTGCTTGTGATGTCTATTGTGAACTATCAGTGATGGATGTGATGTTTATTTGAATGTGGTACATGGCTGTGACCGAACCAAATAAACTGGTTATGTGTGGCAGCTTTGCCGAGTGTTACACTCGGCAAAAGAGCTATTTGCCGAGTGCCATGAAAAATACACTCGGCAAAGCGAACACGTGGCAAAAATCTATGCATTCTGGAGCTAAAATGGCTTATTTGCCGAGTGCCTGCGCTGTGACACTGCCTGAACACTCGGCAAAGAGATCAAAAGCTGGGTCTGAAATGACCAGTCTTTACCGAGTGTCTGGGTCGGGACACTCGACAAACATGCATTATTTGTCGAGTGTCAGGGCTAAGGCACTCGACAAACAAGGTCATGTTTGTCGAGTGCCGAGGCCGTTAGACACTCGGCAAACACGTCGTGACCGTTTCCGCGCCATCACGTTATTTTTTTTTGTGGAGCGTTGGTTTCAACACTCGGCAACGTCTTTGCCGAGTATCCGATAAAAAACACTCGACAAATAAACTTTTATCGTTACTGTATACGCCGTGTGCGTGCCGAGCTAACATAAAAAAAGCTTTGCCGAGTGTTTTTTTTAAGCTTGTGTGCCTCTGAACACACGACAAAGATCCTGTTTCCGTAGTGCACGTGTCTTTCTCTCCTTCCCCTAAACCCCACTGCCCTTCTTCCCCTCCCCGTCTCTCCCTCCCGCACGGGCGGCGGAGCTGATGAGATCCCGGTCATGTCGGGCCCCACCTTGCGGCTCCTCCTGCTCGCCCGCCGCGCCGACCGACGCAGAGGCCTCCCCTTTCTCGTTCCCCGCGCCTTGCAGGCCACCCCCGCGACCTCTTCCCCGGCGTTGCCGCCACCTCCCTGCCTCCCCGCCTCAACGCCGGTGATGAGGTAACGACAGTCGACAGGCTAATCTCAGCTACCGGTCACCACGGCATAACCCTAGGTCGCAGTTCCGTTATGTTCGCGGATTTGGAATTCGCTAGTTGTAATTGTACCGTGCGCCAATCAATCATTCAATTTATGATTCACTTTGATAGTGTAAAATGTTTTTGGATTAAAAGAACAGTGTGCAATGCCAGGTCGTCCTAAGTGCCAACTGTATTTTTTTTGTCGAAACAGTGTATAAAGTTTCAGGCAGACAGATCTCCGAAATGACAATCTTACTCAATCATCACTGAGAAACATACTGAACTAATCTAGCTTAAATAAATTCTTCATTATAATTTAGGAGGAAGGCTATTTGGTTAATTAGTCTGTGGCATTAGATAAATTGGATCTTCTATTTGAAGAAAATATTTTATTTCAATGATTTGCAGATGTTTTACTGAGCCAGCATGTTGAAATTTCAATAATTCTAGGCCTTGTTTAGATTGCAAATTTTTGCAATCTGGACACTGTAGCACGTTTCATTTGTATTTGACAAACTTTGTCTGATCATGGACTAACTAGGCTTAAAAAATTCGTCTCGTGATTTACAACCAAACTGTGTAATTAGTTATTTTTTTACCTACATTTAATGCTCCATGCATGCGTCCAAAAATTGATGTGATGGAGAGAGTGAAAAAACTTGGAATTTTGAGGTAATCTAAACAAGGCCCTAGTGTTATTTGTTTGCAGAACTTATGTTTAGGTGGTTTATTTTTTTTTTCTGTTTTGTAGCTACTCAAGTGCATTTACAAGTGTACATGGAGAGAGACCATCATCAGAATATGCAAAGATCAGAAAGAAGTCACTGGAAACCCAGTTTGGAAGAATTTTGGGGTCAAGTTCACGCAGGATTTTTGCTGACCGTGGCTTTGGTCCATTCCTTGCTCTGTACAGGGCTGCTACTATCTCTTTTCATGTTCTAAAACTCACTATTTGGCATTTGTGGCTCAATGACATGCATAAAAGAGCAGAAAAGGTAGTTTTTCTTGTCTGTTGTTGGTGGTGGAACTGAGCATCATGTCTCTGATTGTCATTTCCTTATTTCAGTTTCGAGAGACCTTGATACGCTTGGGTCCTTTTTACACCAAGGTATGCTGATTAACATAGATCTGTAGAATGTAGCACTGATTTTTTCGATTAAATTTTGATGCTTAACTTTTCAGTATGGTGTATCTCCTTGTTAAGGTGGAAGCAACATCAATGTAACATGTTTTATGATCATCAAAATCACTGCAGCTATATCTATGGTTTTATAACATGGTTATTATGTACCTTAAGCATTCGTACAAAATCAATCATGTTGGTGGCTGTGTTGACTGCATCTTTAGTGTGCCATTGTGTCCATATCTTGTTTTTGAACTACAATACTTCGTTAGCTAATATTGTCTTATTACAACTAGGTAATTTTTTTTTGAAACCTACAACTAGGTAATTGATGATATGTTCTTTTACCAATTCTCTTTCACCGTGCAGCTTGGCCAGGCATTGAGCACACGCCCTGATATACTTCCTAGTGCGTATTGTCAGGAGCTTGCAAAGCTACAGGTACCTCCCCATTCTATATTTTTTCTTTGTGATGAAAACAAATTTTTAGATCTAAGAACATGCTTTCTCGAGTTTATGTTAATCTCCTAGAATTATGAGGTGAATGAGTGTCCTAAAGTTGTGGCGTCAAAGTAGGTCCACTGACATGTTTAAGTCCTAGAAAGGATTCTATCTCGGTTGGAGGCCCCAAAACAGCCATTAGTAACACATAGTTCAAAATCAGAAGTCTGAGGAACTTGTACTGGTAGCTTTTGCATTTCAATGTTTTGGCTGGACAATTTCTTTTCAGGGTCAAATACCACCGTTTCCAACTCGCATTGCACTCAGGACCATAGAGTCTCAGTTGGGCTCTCGAATTTCTGATTTGTTTGCTGATATCAGCCCAGAGCCGATTGCAGCAGCATCACTGGGGCATGTTTACAAAGGTTAGACATTTCTGATAAGACTTCTGCTACTAACCGGTGATTATCCTTGTTCTGTACTGATTGTTATTTACCTTAGCATATATTTCAGACCTGAGTTCTCCAAGTTGAAATGCATTCCTTTGATACTTCAAGTAATGCAGTTCATCTACGCTCTGGAGAGCTTGTTGCAGTCAAAGTTCAAAGGCCTGGAATGGCGCCCTTGCTGACTCTAGATGCACTTTTGTTCCACATGATTGGAGGACAAATGAAACGATTTGCTAAGGCTCGCAAAGACCTATTGGTGGCAGTTAATGAGATTGTGAGCTTCTACTTCTTTCTGAACTAGACTTGTCGTTGTCTGTGCTACTCTAATCACTATTGCTCTTAATAGTTTTTTTTTTTACATTTGCCATGACCGGCTGATCATTATGAATTCCAAAGACCACTTCATCTGGATCCAAAATTTATATTTTCAGACTGGATTAGAATGTTTTTTGCATTTATATTATCAATAGCTTCCTATCCACATAACATGAGATGGATGAAGCTCAGTTTTGCTCTTTCCTCACATGATTCATGGCATATTATCTTTGGATTATGCATAGAGCATATAATTTTACTAAGTGTAGTATTTGTTGGACTATCCTATGTTTGTTGCCTTGTTATGGCCCTCTACCTGGTACTTAATGGTCTGACTTATTGTGATTCTAGTATTTTTGGGTGTAGGTTAATCTTTTTTCTGATCCTTTCTGAATTATCTTTTTAACTTCAGTGATGCTCGTTTCCTGAACATGAAGTTACATAAATCAAAAGACCATTATGCAGATTGTAGACCTACGATCTTCTCTTTTGACAATCATCATGTCCTCCTGTAAATTCTAGATCGTTCTGTATAATTTTAACCTTTGTATGTTGCATTATATTTTATCTTTGGTTCAACAGGTCAGGCACATGTTTGATGAGATTGATTATAATTTAGAAGGAAAAAATGCTGAAAGGTTTGCTACTCTTTATTCTCATGGTGAGTTTGGACACTTATTTAATTCAATTCTTAATAAATTATTGATATACTCTATATCCATCCCCCAACTATGGTCTCACAATACCTGTTCCTCTAAAGTTTACATGCGGCAAGCTCAACACCATTGATTCTCTAGCAGGTTCAGGTGGGGTCAATTCTGAAGGTAGTACAAGTATCAAGGTCCCAAAAGTTTACTGGAATTATACATGTAAAACCATACTGACACTGGAATGGATTGATGGAATTAAGCTAACTGATGCTGAGCGCATCAGCAAAGCCAATTTGAACAGGAAAAGAATGATAGATGAGGTATTGTCACTTGGCTGCTTGAATGTAAATTGCATCGCAACATTAGTTCTGTCCTTTGTTTCTCTTGTGTGATTCTCATGTATGACCATATCTTTCATCCCTTAAAATACCATTAGCTTGAATTTTTGGCTAGAACATAAGTGTAACCATCTCTATGGAGGTGTTCTACTGTGTTTAGTGTATGTCCTTAGTTCTTTACCCTCTATGCTTTTGATATCATGGTTGCTGACTTTTATGGACTGATTTTTTTCCTATTGTCTCATAGGGTCTCTATTGCTCATTGCGACAGCTGCTTGAAGAAGGATTTTTCCATGCAGACCCCCATCCTGGTAATCTAGTTGGACTTTGGTATGATGGGAGATATTCCGAGGCACTATCGTGTGGGGCTTATACAAATGGTATGTGAGACTGTGTCTTAACTTGTTCTGCATTCAACTCATGGATCTTACGAAGGGTATTGTTTTTCACTCTTATTGTGGAAACTGGAAAGTTCAAAAGGGTTTAGGCTTAGATGTTGTGCTGCTAAATCACTTAACTATTTTTGTAAGTTACAGGCTACATGTTATTGGTAAGATCTTCAAAGAGCAGCAAGTTAGGCTAGCAATGCTGGTGTTTGATTTTCAAAAGTTGGTTAAACTTAAATATGGCTAATATTATTTCCTGGTCTAATCACATTGTAGATAAATTTAATTAGGATGTCTAGCAAGAAATAATTTGCTCAATGATCTTACTGTTTACTGCACTTGTGGTATAGCATAAATAAAACTGAACTTTGATATGAGTGTCACTAATGCAATATAGTAGTCCTATCATTGGTTGTGTGAAACATTTACTTGTAGTACTTTGTTCATGTGTAATGAAAGCCTCTAGGTGAGTTGGTTTGTGGCTCGAGTAGCACTCCTCAGGTTCTGGGTTCGACTCTCCATGGGGGCAAATTTCAGGTTGGCGTAAAAAAAAAAAAATCCCTCGTCTGTCCCACACCAAAGCATAGGTCTAAGGTTCGGCTCCAGTCGTGGTCGTTCTCACATGGGTGTGGCAGGGTTCAAGGGTTTTCTCGATCTGCGTGAGGTCTTCTTAGCAAAATGCCCGAGGGCTCTTGCCCCCCCCCCCACGCAGGCCGAGTAATTATAAGCTTTTTTGGATTACTTTTTGCTGCATGAAATTTGTATAAATTAATAACCTTGTCTGCTACCATATACAAGCAGGTAATTGTAAACTTTGTTTTGTGAAATATGTGGCATAGTAGCTTCATGTTCTAGTTTCCTGATATGTTGGTTTCATTGGTGTTGCTTGGCTTCAATCAAGAAATTTACTTCTGAAAAACAGAATTTACTTGTTTCCGCTTGTACATTATGTTAATCGGGACTCCTTAGGCTTGGCGAACGATTTCCATTCACTAGGATTTGTTCCTGAGGGAACAGATTTACTTGCAGTTGCAGATGCGTTGCGGTTTTCCTTTGCTGAAGTCAGGAGGCAATCAAATGATTTCCAGGTACGTGACCGCTATCCCTCACCGCACCAGTGTGCCGTGCATCGGGGTTAGCGACCCAAGCGGGGCCGAACGGTCTCGTTGACGCTATGCGGTCCCCGCTTTTGCAAGGGTCCAAATTCTCCCGATGCTAGGCGGGTATTCATCACCGGTCGTGACCTCCCTTGGTTCGCCACACGGCGAGGGAGTTTGGGGCTGCTCAATCTACCTCTGAACTTTATAAGCGAGGGCCTTCTCCTGTTCGAAACACTCGTATATGTGATTATGGATTGCTCCCTTCCTCCCGTTGGGTGAGTGTGGAAATAAGGGAGAGAGAGACATGATTATCCTTTCCAACAGCTGGTGCTAGAAGAGATCTTGTGAGCAGGGGAGGATGAGATGCCGTGGAGGTCGGCTCCGTGATCATGCGGCCTTGGTTTTACCTATGCCTGAGTGGCACAGGTAACCGTAGGTGCCGTTGATCAGGGGAAGGTTCGCCCTCCTGCCATGGGTCATCAAAGTGTGCAGGTAGTGAGTCGGTTCTCCAGAGAGAACGTTCGTCGCTTCCTGGCCGCTAGACGATGGACTCAGGGCGGTGTTCGTCACTATTCCCTGTCGAGGCGTTGTGACGACGTGGCGAGGCATTCCTCGCCGGAGGCCGTTTTACCCTTCTCTCCTCCCCGCGTTCTCGATTTGAGGGATTTTGAGGGTCGCGACGCTACAAGGGGGCCTTCAAGGTGTTCTTTTCCACCTTGTCTAGCCATACTCACAGCTCGCGCTCCCAGTGGTGTTGCTTTCGAGGTGGTGTTGGGTTTCTTTCTTGTTTTCATGGTTTGCCTGCGCGTGTAACGCTTGTACCCATGGAATGTGTTTTTCGAACCTTTCATTCCTTCCTCGAAGTCGCACCGACCCCCCGAGCCGCTAGTTTCGGCTGTGGGGTTTCATTTCTGAAGCCTGACTTTTGGTGCGGGAGGTAGTCCTCCCTTTTTCTATGGGATAGGAAGGCCGTCCTCCGGCACGAAAGCCTTTGTTTCATTTGCATTTTGACCTTATCTGGTACGGGCGTCCCCGTTCGCCAAACAAGTTACGTCCTAGCATCCTAAGTAGCGATGTGATCGTGGGGCGTTTTCCTCTGGCCAAAAGTGGATACTTAGGCTCGAGTGGGCCCGGATCATACGCGCTGGAGTCATAGTAGGGTCGTTTTCGCATGGGTTTTTGATCGCTGGCTTGTAAGGAGGGTACCATCACAGGCCCTGGGCGCCCGAGGGATTTTTTTGCGAGGGGTCATTGATCCCTGTTGGTCCGTCGATTTCTGGCCGTGGATTCGGGATCTAGAAAAGGGCTTGTTGCGGGGACTTAGCCCTGCTTGCTTTAGGATTCCCAGCGACCTTAGGGGTCGTTGCGACCTATTTTCGGCCAACTTTGGTTTCGCCCCACGTTGGGAGAGACATGTCCACCGTAACCATGTGGTCAGAGCGGTGTGCCTCATCGGAGTCGATGGGTAATTCGAGCGGGACCCGATATGCCCCACAATCGACGTGGAGTTCGGCTTTGTGGGCATTTCTAAACGCAATCACCAAGTACGGAGACAGAATCCATCCTCGGCAATGGCACCAGAAATGTTTGTTGGTATTTCTTTGCGTCATCACTAATGATTAGCAATGCCACTAAGTAATAGCCTTGATAGTTCCTTAACAATTTTAGATATTTATCCGCAAGCGCACGGAGCTATCATTGTAGCATTTCATCCGGAAGTATTCAATGTATCGTTATTTATATTTTGCCAAAGGAAGGCATTTGATTAAGAGTCTAGTATGGATATGAACTTGAATAATAATGCTTGCAAGTACACCAATTATTTATAGCAGGTAAAGAACTTAGGCACACCTAACGGCACGATGAACCACCACATCAACTTTGCTCTAATTCCGATTATATAAGTAATATGAGTGTTTAAGCATAAAGTCATGTATGCTACTTTCATGACATACAAAGTGTAGACTAGTTCATATATCAAAATTATAACACGATAACTATACTCTAGTTTATAAGTATGACTATAAATATCATATGAGAGCATAACTTTGGAAGAACTCATATCTCTATTCATACCTAAAGGTCTCTTCTTCCAAAGAGCCAAGTTCTCCAAGGTAGCTTTGCCTTGCTGTAAAGCTACTAAAAAGTAAAGCTACTACTACTAGAGAGTGAGGTGTGTGAGGTGATGTTCAAGGTGAGTGTGTTTACAGAGGGGGTACCCCTTTACTTATACAGAAGCATAGGCGGTGTTATGAGCTATAATTGGCGCGAGGACTGGCTCCCACCGCCTTAGCATGGTTCCATGCCACCGCCACAGCAAGGAGGGGATAAGCAGCACCGACAAGGGGTTGGGCGCCCCTAGGGGTCGGCAGCCCCTTGACCGTGGCCTCTCGCCACTGCCTTCACCTGGCAGGCCATGGGTTGGACCAGGATTGCTTCCCCATGGGGTTTTGCCCCATTTGAATTGATTTTGTGGGCGTCTCCCTTGTTCCTTTGTGCAAATCAGCGTCGAAAAGTGTCTTTTGGTGAATTATTCCATGTATTTGTGTTTGTGACCTACAAAATAATGTTCTCCAAATACATGTGGAACTTGGTTAATTGTAAATGCATATGTAATTAAGATTGCTTATTTCTTCTCTTTTTATGTCTTAATTGGGGGTCGAATTTGATCGGTAATGACCGCCAACAAGATCCCATAAGCTTAACCTTTGCTCGTCCCGAGCAAATAGCTAGGCTATTGGTTGTTGATTAGGAGTTGCGACGATGACGAATATAATTCATAAGTGCCATGCCTATAACCAGTGTTTTCCTAAACGCTAAACGGTAAACAGTCGGTCACCTACCGTTTAACCATTATTCGGGCAAAACGTCCCATTAAACGGGCTAAACAACCAATTAAACAGGGTAAACGGGTGATTAAACGGAAACGGCGCACCACCGTGTAGCGTTTACACGGTGTTTAAATGGGCTAAACAGCCGTTTAGGCGAACAGTGCCTATAACAAAGTATTCTTCCTCAATTTAAATAGGTTTGGCATTCTATCTACCTTTTAACTTAATCCTGTGGGGCTTATTGCTTTTCCAAGTCTTAGGTGGTTGCAAGATAGAACGGTTTTAATAGAATTACCAATTATTCATTCTTTGATCAACCTTCTATTCGGAGGTTTTATGAGTTTTTTGCAAAATAAAATGTAAGTTCCTCAGATGATTCACTTGATCGCTCAATATGTATTGATTGTTTTGCCTTCTTTTCATCCTATCTCTAAAAGGCTTTGAGTGGAGTTTTAGGTAGGTAAGAATGAGAGGCATACTTACATCACATATATTGCTAAGTAAAAAACTGGATCCAAGGAGATGCAAGTCATACACTTTGATCAAGATGTGCAAGTGTGTGGTATATTTTTTTTCTAATCCTAATATCTTTGGTACTCCTTTAATCATGACTTTCTCTCTTTTGATAATTGCCTCATAAGTATGGGCTATCTCTCTCTTTTTTTCAATACTTTGGAACATTCACGTGTTCCATTTTTTCTTTTATTGCTTTGAGAGCTTCATGTCTCTCTCTTTTTAGCATAGACTCGTACTTCTTTTTGGCATATGAAAATTTTAGAGAGAAAGACTCATGACAAATGAATGAAGTTTTTATTTTAGGTAGATGGAAAACATGTTTTTGCATAACTCTCGGTATAAGAGTTAGCATTTTAATTGTGGATGTTCGTGAATCTTGATCATGGGTGCATGACGAGAATCTCAATAAGGGTCACAATAATTTGACAAAACTCAATGTGAATATAAGTAGCATATGACTAGGGTTTTGAATTTGAATCATGTCATATGGCCGTAGTAGGAATTCATATTCATTGAGAAACTTTTGATTTTAGTATTTTTAAATGAAAACCCCGGATGTCAAGTTTCTCTTAGAATAAAGTCATAACATATTCTATTTACCATATCATAACTTGCAACAACTTAGAAAAGAATCATGCTTTTGCAACCCACAAGTTTCAAGTTTTAGGACGAGATATTTTAGCCAACAAACTTAAATCTTAGGGAATGCTAAGTTACAGCCTAGGCACAGATGAATTATAGACAGAAAACTATTCATCATTTCAACTATGGAGAAACTAAACATTCTTAAATCACATATG